TTTTTTTTTTCAGCTTGCCAAGTTATTGCACAAAGTCCAGGAGCCGCACAAAACGTTGCCGATTGTAATAAAGTTCTGTGTAGGCGATTACCTGCAGTCAGCCTTGTCGGCCCTTTACAGCTGCTTTTATCATTCTGCTGAAAAAATGCTGTATCCTTACGTGGAGCATCTCGCGAAGAATGCAGTATCCGTGCGGAAACACGCGATATTCCTCACTTGCGGAGTACTTGAAATAAAAGAAGTAATGCGCGTGCTGAAGAACGCCAAACAGGCGAACATGTCCGATCGAAAACACATATTGTCAGCGACCTTGAAATATTTCTGGAAGAATCCTTCGGAAGAATTATTCATGAGGGTTATCGCCGGTTTCGAAACCATCGACAAAAATGATACTGAAACCATGGAAAGCCTTGTTACCCACATTAAAATTCCCACAAAATATATGGCTAGATATATCGAGAAATGCTGGGTTTGGTTCGAGAGCTTGAGTGAAGAAGGTGTGAACTATCAAAGATATTTAAATGCTCTTTTAGATTATATGTGTGGTGATATTGCGAAATTTTTTTCTTCCGTATTCGTAAACAGGCTTCTGACTCGCTATTTTGGCACACAAGATGTGTCGATACACGAGTTCACGACGTTCACTTTTAGAGTCTTGGAATACCGAGTATCAGAACGTGACAACAATTTCAAGGTGGTATTCGGAAAGCTGCCTGGATCAGACAATGAAGTGATCACCTTATTTTTCGACTATTTCATACACTCATGCAGAAGTGAAGAAAGAGACGAAGAGTTAATCGACACTTTTTTTCAATACTGGAATGCATATTTCACAGATTTTGATATTTTCGAGAAGCAAATCGAGCTGAAGTTGCTTCGAATAGAGGTTGATCAACAGTCTGGAGAGGAGTACGCGCAAAAAGTCGTGTCGCTCCTAGAGGAACTTCAATCTCTTTTCGGTTTTCACGTCTTTAATATATTTAGGGATCAACTCTACGAGTACCTACAATACTTGAGAGATGTTCAATATTCTTTATATTTGAACATTTTGAAGTATAAGTGCAATCCTACCAATTGCATCTTGATTATAGAACTAATGAAACGAAGTGTCCGTCCCTTGGAAGATGAAGAAAAGGAAATTTACAATGAAATCATGAACATTTTAAGAGTCGTGGATGAGCCTATTGTAAAAATATATTTCAAGTCACTTGTACAGAAAAAATGACATTCCTACCTTCACGTTTCTTAACACCAACTGCGGATTTGAGAAAATAATTTGTGACTTTGCACGATGACTGAAATTTCCAACGAAGTGTGACTCTGATTGTAAGAATATTTGAAATTAAATTTGCAATAAACTTTCCGTCTAGTCCTATTCGCGAATTTATACAAAAACTTCACTCACTTCAAGGTTCTTCAAGGATATAAAAGAAATATATTCGCATTCATTATGCATCATTCTCACTATGAGCGATTCTTATTTTATAACAATGTTTTCATACAGTTGCTTATTGAAACATATATTAGTAATGATGTATTAATTTTATATATACAGGCTGATTCACGGTGGATGGCACATTAGACGTTTCTGGTGAATAGAACGAAGGATTTGCGGACACATGTTTATATGAACATTTCGTCTTGAAATTACCTAAAGAATCGTCTGTTAAATTTATGGTACATACTTAAGTAATACCCTGTATACATCTTAAGATTAGTTTTAGATTCGTTAATAGTTGTAACTTCTTTTATGTAATTGAGAAGTTCGTTATATTCTTTCAAGGCTTTATGAATTAATGATCTCGTTGCAGTTATAAGATTTTATTTTAACAACATATACAGGGTGATTCAAACGCACTTTGACAAACTTCAGGAGGTGATTCCTCACAATATTTTAATATGAATTGTCCAAATAAATAAATGTCCGGAAACGCTTCGTTTCCAAGATACAGGATGTTGAAGTTTTATTTTTATTTTTAATTCTACTCAGTCCACAGTTTGAAGAATTATCCACGATCAACAGTTTTATCCATACCATATTCAAAGGGTACAAGCTCTTTTGCCACGAGACTTCCCCCAACGCATTACTATGTGTCAATAGTTTTTGAGAAAATTGGCTGGAAATCCTTAATATTTAAGATACGTACTCTTCACGGACGAGGCAAACTTCTTCCGAAATGCTATCACAAACTTTCATAACAACGATGTTTGGGCTCTCGAAAATTCGCGCGCAGTTAGTGAAAGGCATTATCAGTATCAATTTTCTGTAAATGTATGGGCGGCAATAATTGATAATTACTTGATAGGTCCTTTCTTTCTTTCGCTCCGATTAATGGCGCAACTTACAGACACTTTTTAGGAAATGAATTCTCTGGACTACTTCAGAATGTACCATTAGAAATTCTTATCCGCATGTGGTTTATGCATGATGGGGCTCCGGCCCATTTTAGCGTTGTAGCCAGGGAATTCAGTATTTTAGTATTTTGATAATTCATAACATGATCTGAAGAGATAACATGTTCAGCTAGTCCACAGGAACGTTTGTTTAGTCTGCAGTCACTTTTTTAGCTGAACATGATTTTTTAATGTTTATTTGACAAATTGTAAAACGGGTTAAACTTACGAAAGTGAGGTTAGTAATCCATGATTTGTAAAAATAACGTATCCCAAATGACAGAGACTATTGGTAAAAAAACAACACAAATATACAAACCTTTACATTATGTAATGATTGATTAGATTATTTGAAAAACATCATTATTTATTAAATCATAGTCTCCTTGGGATGAAATCACCGAGAAAGTGAGTTTTATTTGAATAAAATTTGACAGTAATGAAATTATTGACAGTGATTTTTTTACCTTATTGCCAACATATGCTGGAAATAAAAAATAAAAACACCAATTATCCAGGGTTGCCAGGCAAACATGATACATAGTATAAAACAAGCTTCCCGATGTCTGTTCCCATGTATGATTAGATTTTGAAACTACGCAACGGATTTTGATGCAGGTTTTTTCAATAGATAGAATGATTCAAGAGGAATATTTATATGTATATAACATCCATAATAAAGTAGAGAAACACTGATAATTTTAGAGGTTTCTAATGTGATGTCGTAAGTAAACACATTTTTTTGCGCTTACTTTACAAAAGCTGGCTGAACCCTACGAGGTAGATCAAAATAATGTACTGCACTATTGTACACTTTAAAAAAGGTTTACAAAAAAAGTCCGATGGTATACGTCCATCTCTTATAGATAACCTATAATAAAAATGTTTTATCCTTTACTTTTTAAATGGCTTATTTACATAACAATTTTGTGCAATGCAGCATTAATCCTTATTCATTTAAGTACCTTAAATACATTGTGCATTTAATATAGATCAATATGACCTTTTACAGCATGTAATTCAAATTATTATTTTTGAAGGTATTACAGATTTAAAATGCAAGGACATAGCGGTTGCGGCGGTACCGGCCGGGGGTGAGAGCGGCGCGTGCTTATAAACAGCTTGTCGAAGGCCGTGCTTCGCCGTACAGCAATTTATGATTAGCAGCGATCGCACGCGTTTATATGTATATTCAGTATCAGTTTTGTACCCGTGTGATTCCGGGGCGGGTCGCTAGTAATATTATGATATGTATACAAATGGTATCAATGGCAAAGATGAATAATCAATTTTATTCATAAATAATTGTTTTTCGAAAAAGACGACAAACTTTCAAAAGCAAACATTTTTGCGATTCGATGTTTGATGACGTTGATAGAAAAGTATGATTGAAATAATTTCGAACGCATCCTAGCGTGAAAATATGACTATTGCTTCTGCTGAAACCTAAAAAAACTAATTTACTTGCCCTTAATAGAAGCTATTGATGTTTCACTTCTGTAAAATATATTTTTGTTTATGTTTGCTCACGAAATGTTCATATGTTCGATGTTCCGAAGTCTAAATAAAAAATAATGAAAGAAATATCCGTCAATGTATTTTTTTGATTGTGACACCAAGGTAATAAAACAGGTAAAAAAATAATTGAACCTAAATTATCGATGACATCATATAATAATCAAGTGTAAATAATTCAAGCTTTGAACATGCCACATTGATTTTTGTTATCAATTATTTTCAATTATATAATATACCCATACGAGTCCAGCATTCCTAATTTTCCAAACGTTTTATTAAAAATTGTGTGCGAATCTCTAGCTCAATTTCCGTGTTTTCTAGTGCACATTATTCTTTTTTAGATTGCTTCAGGATGGGCGATGCTAGTGTGGCAGCTCCTACAGATTTCATTACCCGATTCCACAATCTAGAAGGCGATTTAATAGGAGAAAGAAAGAAAAATCTCTTCAAACTCATTCTAGATCTGTCATTTTTGAAAAATGAGGAACAACTGAATAATGTGGTGGAAAACCTTAAGCCCACAAATTACTTGGAAAATTTATTTAGAATAGATATTTTGATTCACTTCAAGAAGACAAAGGAACTTCTAAAAATACTTGAACAGGGTAATGAAGTTTTCATAAGCAAGATTTTGAAGCAGTTTTGGTTCATTGATGAGGCGTTCAGGGATATAGATGTCAAAATATTTGTTAACGAGTTTCTGCCTAGTTTGTCCTATGCAATACGAATGAAGCTAATGAAAAAAGTTGCCAAATGTTGGAATGAAACTCAAGTTGATGCATTGTTTGATTCTTTCAGTGAAAGGTACAAACTTTTATATTTCATTGGATTGCAAGTATATGTCGATGCATACAAACTTATATATTATTCACAGATATAAATAATGAAGTACAAACTAGAAGAAATCCCTTGAAACATATTTCAAATGTGAGACAGCTACACAATGGAATGGATGTTTTAAAGGATTGATATATCGTTTGCATAAAAAATTTGTTCTACTGCTACAGTTATTATTATTATTATCTCAAGGAGATTTACATTATATGGTAATCAAGTTTGTTATCTACGTATAGTTTTGAATATTACTTACCTAGAGAGTATTTCTAGTTTTCATGAATGGTAGAACTGTAATCTCTGGCATAAAATAAATCCAAAACGAACACCAGAACTGCAACACTCTTCTGGACATGCGTTTTACCAAACAAGTTGGTATCTTCAGGAAATAAAGTAAAACTACTTAATTTTTTAGTTTTACTTCATCTTGCGCGTTGCAGTTCTGTTGTTTTGGAACAGTACTTATTTTGGATTCTCAGTTTTCATATTATATTGAAATCGTCATTTTTTCAAATTGGGGTAATGACTGCATATTTCAAGCACTTAGGAAAAATATATGTTTTTTTCTCTGGATTTTTTCTGATTCGAATCTGGAAGAAATATTCGTGAATTGTATACCCATTTATCTAAAATGTTTCCAAATCTAAAGAAATGAACTTTAAACATTCAAGCAAGTCTCAGATATACCTATGCAGTAGATTCAATGTACTGAAGCCTATCAGAAAACAACTACTCCCCTGGCTAATACCACGAAGGGCATTGGATTATATCAGACAAATGTTTCCATTGATATTTGTTCTCTCCTCACTCATACTAAATTTTTTATTTTTTTATGTTTATAGAAAATAGGTTCAATTAATATATTTTTGATCTTTTGAAAGGAAATCGTCTTGAATATGTTGAATGCTAGAATCAGTCATCATTTTCTCTTTCAGGTATGGCATATTCTTAGCAACAACTATTTTGCACAAGTGCAGCTCCAAAAAAATCAGAGAAATCCTAAACGAAAATGAAATCAAGCTACAACCAGCTCAAGTTAAATATCTTTTTGACAAAGACGAAGAGTTATTCAAGTTTTATTTGGACTACATTAATTCTTTCAATATTTATTATTGTTATCAGGAGAAGAAAGTCTTGAACTACGTAGCTCTGAAAAACCCAGAGCTTCTGTTGGAGCTCCAGAAAAATAAGAAGATTCATGTTTCGGGTTTGGGAAGAAGAACCAGCAAGAGAATCATAAAGCTTGTTAAAGATGATATTCCTCGAGATGTCAAAAACTATGTGGATATCTTGAATAACACTGTTATTGTTAGAAAGTTAGGAGGAAGTTTTGGGAAAGTTTATCAAGAATTGCTTTCAAAGGAATATCAAGGTAATATCATTCCGTATAATATTCACAGCAGGATGTTGATTCAGTATCCAAAGAAAACAAGATGGAGTTTTTTTTGCGATTCGTACTTGAAAGTTTTTCCGGGTAATAGTGTCGAGGTCATCCTCTCGGCATTTGATACTTCTTTATTGTGTCTAAATCCTGGCAGAGAAATAATCAAAAAATGGGCTCTGATTAATTACAATTTGAATAAGGGCGACCATTTTTTAAAATATTTCGATCCGTCTGAAGCTATTCCAATCATAAAAGAAAAAATTAATGTCACTTCTGACATTTCAAACAGAACATCTTTGGTCATATTATTATTGGATTGTTGTTCTACAAATAATGATTTGAACTCTCTGGAAGCAGTGCTGAAATATATTTGTTTCAGGTAGGAATATTTTCATTCAAAAGTCATTCTACATGTCACCATTGATTTTATTTAGTGAATGTCGTTAGGAATGAATAAAAACAAGTTGAGTGCTTTTTTTACACGCTTTATATTAGCTTCACCTGTATGTATGTATGTTTGTTTGTAACTCTGAAGCTCGGGATCTGTATTGACAGAATTATCGGCATTATTGCTTGATCTATTCGCGAGCAGATGGCGCTGTACGTAACTATCAATTATTGCTTGAGCTATTCGCGGGCAGATGCCGCTATAAGTAACCTCCTTGATAGGTTGTTCGAAAAAAAATCAAAATAAAAATTTTAAGAATTATAAGTGTTAGCGAAATTTTGTACTACAGATGAAATACACACATCGGAAAAGTCTAGGGATATTTTTATAACATACTAATTATCATAAAAATAAATGCATGAGGTCGTTTAATTTCGATTAAATTGGTACACTCGACCACCCTGTAGATTTCTATGGGTTGAACAAAGCCTGCAAAAACGGTAACTAATTTTTTATCAAGTTTTTTACAAACTGTAGGTTTTCGGCTAAAACGAATAATCTGAAAGTGTCGAGTTTGTACATTCTATGCATTGGCTGAGATGAATAGAGCTGTAGGGCTTCTTCAAGGTGGCATGCGACAAAATGATGTAGCTCTTCGTTTGGGGGTTTCCCAAAGTGTTATCAGTCGATTGTGGCGGCGTTTCCGTGAAACTGGCAGTCCAGCCGAACAACATCCAGGGCGAGGACGCGCTACAACTGCAGTTCAAGACCGATTTTTGGTCTTAACCGCAAGAAGACAACCGACAATCACAGCACCTGAGTTGGTTAACGTGTTGCAGCAGACGCACCAGGTAACCATTGGTCGTGATACTGTCAGAAATCGACTGCATGAAGCAGATCTCCACAACAGAAGGCCACTTAGATGTCCACCTGAGATCGGAGATTAACTCAAGATGTATAAACCTCTGAAGAAGCTAGCCACTCGCGCCAGCGAAACGTCAGGAAGAAATTCCAAAAATCGACAGCCTTCAAATCGAAAAATAGTGACACTGAAAACCTCGGCCGCCAATGCCACAACCATTTTGTCAAAATAGTTTATGAAACTGCTACGCATGCAAGGCATGTCTGCTAAAGCACAGTTTCGTAAACTGTTTTATGAAAATCTCACTGTTTTTGAATACATTCATAAAAAAACAAAACAATGCAAGTTATACTAAACTTTAAAAATAATTGTGGTCTTTGACCTTCTTAATGCAGTAGTTGTTAAGACCTGGTTGGTACTCAATGAATTTATGAAAACTTGAAGGTGTAGTAAACTCTTGTATGTTATTAGTATTTTCACATCCATTCTTCAATGACACTTTAGGGTCAATTTGACCAGTTGGTGTCTTCATAGTCTAGTAACTACAGGATGACTATTGATCTATATATTTTTCTCGAATTTGAAAAGCTCTATACCATTTTTTGTGCAATCGTGACATAATTTTGTCCATATGAAATATTTTTGGACAATGAAGTCCAGTGATTGATTGAATTGTTTTCTTTATTTAGAAGATCCTCATTTTATATACCTCAATACATTCCGTTTCAATCACAATATTACCAATACTATCTAATAATTATTTTGTAACCTATCAGATATTCACTATTTATCTATCGTCAGTGGTAACTAAATGTTAGTATTATAATTTTTTTTTATTTGATTGTAACAATAACTAAATATCTTGTTTCAGGCATCGAAATGAAGACTGTAACTTCAGAGAAAGATTGATGACCCATATAACCTCAAATTTCAGGCTCGATGACTTGAACGAGAATCATTGGAAGTATATCAGTGAGCAGTTGAAAATCGGCAGGGTAAAAGGAGATTCACTCTTCTTGAAGAATTCCACAATTTTGAGAAAACAATTAGAGTTTCTTTTCAAGAGCGGAAAAGATCACAAAGACGCTCTGGTCGAGTATATTAATGACGTCTTTGACTGGAGTGATGACTTCAACTTGAATTTGGAAAATCCATTTGTAGAAAAAGAAATTTTAATAGAAATCAGTAAGACTGTGATGGACGTCATCAAGGGTGAATATGCTGTTGATACAATCAAGACTCTCATAGAAAACGTCACCGATTTCAGTATGAAACATGTCAATCACTGTATAAAATTAACTGAATGCCCCGTGTTGCTCCCTGTCATTCAATCATGTTTTTCCAAAAATGCAAATTTTGATTGTAACGATATCGCTGTAGTTCGAAATGTGTTGCTATATAATTTAAAATTTCCACAAAACTCTTTCCCGATCGATAACTCCAGGTTTCTTGAACTGTTCGTATTGGTTGCCAAAGAAGAAGGAATGAGAAATCTGTCAATCATCTTTCATGAAAGGATCCTCAGGAAGAATCGTTCGGAATTCGAGAATGAAATTTTGAATGAATATTTGGATAAATTATTACATGACCACTATAAGCGTTACATCGTCCTCTGGTTATTGAAGAATGAACCTAGAAGACTGGTTCCGTATTTCGATAAAATACTCGAGTTGAAAAACTCGGCAGTGGACAGTAAACTAACGAAACTTTATTCGCACTTTGAGTTTGACAAAAAAGCAATAAATTTTTTTAAGAAACAATTGGAGTTGGAAAAACGAGACGAGAGAATAATAATGTTAAATTTGGTTGTACTTCTCTCCACGGATGATTTTATAGTTTTGGCCAATACATTTTTGCCGAAAAAGATGAAGCTTGATTTGGAGGATCCAGAAATGATGAAAGATTATAAATTGCAATGTGAAGTAAGTAATAATGGGCATAAAAATAAAACTTTTTTTGTAAATCCACTTCAACTTTTCATATTGCTTAATTGCATATTGCTTTCATATTGCCTAAATGAATATTGATTTCATAATTTTATTCATAAGTGACGTACTGTTTTTTGTAAATAATCATTGACCTACCATATATACGTTATGTATCACAAATGGTGA